ATGAACCTCCTTATAGATCTTATTGCATTGTTACTAAAGTATGATAAATTCAAGTCAATTGATGAATTCAGCAGCAGCCAACAGATAGTTTCGAAACTGACAGAGTTGACTAACAGCAACCCACTAGTAGAGGGATCACCGTTTCAGGAGATCGCTGGCTGCAGAAATAAACAGCGTGCTAAGAGAAAAGGTAAACGGAAACATGAACATACAGCCTCACCCTCACCAAGAGCGATGATAAACGACACTCCAAAATCGCAAACTAAGTTGCGAAGTGATAATGGCAGTACACTCTCATCATCGATAACTACCCAGCTGAAGAACAATGACCAGCTCACTGGCAGAGTAGAAGCTGTCCGATCTCCACCACAGAAGAAGGTAAAAGGATCCGACATAGAAAAGACTACCGCATGGACGGAAACCTCAGAGGAAATCGCGGAGAATATGACAAGGCATGATATTAATCCGCCGCAGAAGAGCAGAAAGCAGACGCTCACTGCCCCCCGCAAGGTGACCGAGGAGAACCAAGGACTTAATAATAAGACTCAGACCGTTCAGATGCAACTGAGGTCACATCAAAAGAAGCGGTTAAATCAAAGGGGACTGACGACTGAAAAGAGAGAGACGGAAATCGGACGACTTCGGAGTACCCGAAGAAAGGAACTTCCTGGGGTGGAAAAGCAGAGCTCGTCTGAGCAATCGACAGAAACCTCCAGCGCCAGCGTAGACACAGACGCGGCAAATGCGAATATCCTCTGTATTGACATAAAAGACAGGAGCAGTATTGCCCCAAACACGATACCATTAGCTGCAGAAAAGATCCCTGGAGTGGATGGCAACCAGAATGTCATCATGAATGGTTCGCCAGGAACTCCCAAGTCACCAACATCACGCAACCAAGACCGGCCGCTCCGAGAACAGTGCCTAGTAATACAGGGACTTCAGGAGCCTCAAGCAGATACACCTAAAGAACGCGTATTAGCTGATCTCGGCTTGTTCCAAGGTCTTCTAAACACACTGCTTCAACCCGACGAGGAAATTTCCGTGTTGAAAGCCTTCAGACTCGGAAAGCGCTCTACTGAACCCGCTATTCCACCGCATCCTAGGCCCCTTAAAATTGTTCTGAGTTGCAAAGAGTATGTGGGTCTCATCCTCTCAAGACGTTTTAGGTTAAAATATTCCCACCAAGGAGTTTTTTTTCAGCCGGATTACACACCACCGGAGCGGACAAAACGCCGACTGTTAGTTCAGGAGCTAAGGCTGCGACAAATGAATGGCGAACAAGGCCTGGTTATCTACAACAACTGCATAATCGAGCGACCGTCCCGCTTCATATGGACAAGGCCCGTGCGTATGTCGCCACAGCCGAGACAATTGGCAAAGGCGGCGTCATAGCCGGCTTACCAAAGGAAAAAAAGCTAAAATGCTTGTATTCCAATGCACAAAGTCTGCTATCTAAATTAGATGAGCTTAAAATCTACGTTGACCAAAGCTTACCCGATGTTATATCCATAACTGAAACGTGGCTGTCCGCGAGCGTAGACGATCGCGAAGTCGCTTTATCTGGTTATCACATGTTCAGAAAGGACAGGTTGGGACGTCAAGGTGGAGGTGTGCTCGTGTATGTCAAATATGGCCTTTTTGCGTCAGAAAAAGAGGGACGGCTCGCGCGCACAACTGAAACGATTTGGCTCACCGTCAAAACGCCGGGGTCACA